ATGATAAAAAAGCTGTGCAATGACAATATAATGATACCGAACTGTCGTTGAAAGTTACAGAATAGATCTACTTGGGAGCACTTATTGAATAAAAATCTGAATGCGCCTCTTAGAAAATAAAAATTGGAACATAAATGAAAAATGTCATTTTTTTTCTTAAAACGTTTCTTTTTAGGTTGCCACATTTAAATTTTCGTTTCCTAGCAATTTCGTTTCTGCTACTCTTCCTTTATATTCGATTTCCACTCCGACCTTTATTATTTTCGCCAGAATGTGAAGTGTGATCGTAAGAGATGTATGTCTATTCACTCTATTCGACTGTAGCACATGACGACGCAGTACGTAATCGTCGCATTATGCTGTGGATTGAGAAGTAATCCAGAAAATTAGATTTTTCGGGGGCAAAATTGCCATAAAAGATTTATTTACGGGAAGTTATTTAAAATGACGAATTATACAACATACTAAAAGTCCTAATTGTTAGCGGATTTGGAAAACTTGCCAGTTGCCAGCTTCAAAAAACTGTAAAAAAATGCGGTTTTTTTACAATATCTCAGAAAGTATTCATTTCATCAAAATAAAGATCATTATCAAAAAGAAAGCTGATAAAATTACGAACAATACCATTTTTTTTTAAGATCGTACAATTAATACTTTCTGTGATAGAATTTGTTTAGAACATTGTATTTTTTTATCATTTTGAGAATAAAAAGATTTTTCACACTTTTTTCATAAATATTTCGGATCTGGCTTTTACGTACAAAAAACTTCTTATAAAAACTGAAAGTTACCGAACTCCTTATAAAATTTTTTATTGAATCTCGTATGATAAATAGTTACTAAGATATAAATAAATTTTCTCAATACATTCTGTAATACATTTTAATGAATAACTTGCTTGTGACTTATCGTATGTAAAAAATGTACAGTCTTAAAGCTTATGAAATTAGCATGAAAATGCTTTTTTTTAACTTCGTACGACTAATAGTTCCCGAGATATGGTTTTTCAAGGATACTATGGGATCCTCTATTTATATTTAAATATAAGCTCATTTATCATTACAAGTATATGTATACAATCGAATTGGAAAAAATAATATTCGCATTTTTCTCAAAATTTACATGTATATATAATCCTAGTTGCGTGTCACTCTCCAAAATTTATTTTTGGAAAAACAACTTCGAAAAATTGCCTTTTTAAAACATTTTTTAAAAAAATATGTTCTCCGTAACATTTTTATAAATATCTCAGTTTTTAAAAGATTTACGTAAAATATACCTCAAATTAAAGCTTATAAAATAATATAATTTCCTATAAAATGCATTTTTTTTTCTTCTCTCTCCATCAATTTTTGAGCAAGATACAGTTGTTTAAAGAAAGAGTTTTCTGCGACAATTTTTTGACTGAAAATTATGATCCAACTTGTGTAAAAACTTTTTAACCTCTTAATAGAGAATATTCCCTTGAATTTGGCATTTAGTTTATATTTTTAGAATAGTTTCAGAGATACAACTTCGACAAGTACAGTGTTATTCAGATCGCTAATTCTGAGTGACTGGCTATTGCTGCAGAGGTTAAATATGTAGTGTGATATATGTATATGCCTTTTTTGATCTTCATATCTTCATCATAAAAATGTGAACATTAATTCTCAGTAGACAACTCAAAAGAACTCTGTGCATACACAACGGATATTTCTAACCAGACATTTTCATTTGCTTGTATCTCGGGTTGTAATACATCGATTTTAATTAATTTTTTTTAATGAGCGTTGTTTTTCGAAGACTGAAAAACAAGAATATTTGGGCAAAAAAGTCGAAAAAGTTGTAGTACAAAAGATATTTTACAATAAGTAAAAAGAGATCGAAAAAACGTGCAACTTTCAAAATTGGTTTTGCTACTCGTGTTTATCACTATAACAGTAGTTTGTATCCTTAAACCTATACCATTGCTGATATAAAAAAATACGTGTCTATTATTTTCGTCTGTTCTACAAATGTACCAAGTTTCATTAAATTCGGTGAGTCACGGAAAGATATGTTTACTTGTTACTTTATCTCAATATTCCCATAAATAGAATTAAAAAAAATAAAATTAATTATATGGGCCTTATTCGATTTAGTCCTTATTATATATTTTTAAATATTAGGTTACGGGAAAAGTCCTTTTACATATATAGTATAATTAAAACATATTTTTAAATTATTTACAAACTTTTATTAAACTAAATATGTGCCGTTTTGATCAATAAGCTTTTTTCATTCATCATTTTTCGAGTAGAGCCGTTGGTGTAGAATTTCTGTAATTTCTCGGTAAAAAAAAAATCAGAGATAATTTGTAAAAAGGCTTTTCCCTTAACCCCATATTAAACTGTGTGCGTACATTTACATTGTATAATTTTTTAGTAATACTATATGTAGGCATTGTGAAAGCCTCTTAAATGACAAACTGTCTTTACGTGAGTATATACATGTGAGTCTAAAACTTAGAAAATATAACGCAAATGATCTTTTTCGAATGGTTAAGGGGATCCTAAAGCCGTCTGTATTACCTAAATCATAATTTTTGTATAACAATTATTTTTTTCTCTTTATAGATTCGAAAATTCTTTTCCAGGATTAAAGTATACGCATTAATATGTGTTTGTGAGGTGGAGTTTGTGTCGCAAACGGTAAAAAATTTTTTTTAAGATTTCAATTTTGAAATTTGTTGTTCTCGGCATAAACTTCGCTTCACAGACACGTATTAATGTATATACTTTAATCATGGAAAAGAATTTTCAAATCTGTAAAAGAGTAAAAAAGTAATTGTTATACATTATTGTTATATATTATTATAAAAAAAGTAATTGCTATATATTATGCTATACATTATTATAAAAATTAATTAATCGGTAATATAGACGTTTTGAAGATTTTAATAGGACAGGTCGCAATCGAGAGTTTGTACTTTGAATATACAATAAAATTATCATTAGATTTTTTATTATGGTTTAGTTTGTGAGATATTTTAGCCAAAATAAATTTTGATTAAAAAATTCTGGATAAGCTTGATTATTATATCTGTAATATAATTTATAATTTACTTGTGTATATCATTAAAATACATTGACAGACGCGAGTAATGTACAAATAAACAAAAATACAATATTTTTTTAGACTAATTACGCATTAAACCCTTCTCAGACGTGTATCTGAGAAGTTATTGATTGTATGAGGGTGAATAAAAATCGATTTTGTAGGGAATTTAATAATCTTCATAAGAACTATTTTACGTAAAAGTAACCAAATCTGAGATATTTTATACGAAAAAAGTTAGAATTGTCGAAATGATCAAAAATACAATATTCTAAAAAAATTCTATCACGGAAAGAATATTAATTTGTACGATCTTAAAAAAGAAAACGGAATTGTTCGTAATTTTATCAGCTTTCTTTTTGATAATGACCTTTATTTTGATAAAATAAATACTTTCTAAGATATTTTTGAAAAACTGCATTATATTGATCAGTTTTTTGAAGCTGAAAAGTTTTTTAAGTCTGCTAGCGGTCAAGACTTTTAGTACATTGTATAATACGTCATTTCAAACAACTTCCCGCAAACAAATTTTTTATGGCAATTTTGCCTCTAAAATGCAAAAAAAATTAATTTTCCTGGGCTAAAAATAAAGTCAAAGCCTCCATCAAGTTCGGTTGTGTGTGTGTGTTTCAAAAGAACATTACCGTAAGACGAGATAAACATTTAATTAAAACTCGTCCTCATAAACTGAACATGACTCCCCTGCAGCTATTCTCTTTCTTTTTTTTCGATCGAAGAATACTTTGGAGTCAAGCGACCTGCGACCTATTTTCAAAACTATCCTCAAAAATTTGCCGAAACTCGATCAATTTCTGAGCTATCTCTATCAGCCGTATTATTCGTATAATGCTTTAATCGATTTAAATGGGGCAGGAGAGGGTGGCGAATGGTCTGACAGCTTTGAATAATTCAAATACAAATAGCAAGTAAATTATTAGTCATAAGGGAACAAAATCAATTGTTTATTTCCTCACAATTTATCGAAAGGGTTTTTATGTGCTACAACATAGAAACATATACAGTTTATGAACAGAAACTTTATTAAAATGTATGTCGATAAAACAGCGAGCAGATAGCAAAATGAACAAATTACATTGCTGTCCTACTATCTAGTAGGAGTGTGCCGTACTAGAATCAGGAAATAGAAAGTTACTTTTCAAAGGTAACAAGTTACAGTTACTCGTTACTGAGTAGAAAAAGTATAATAATAAGTTACTGTTATCGATTTTTAAAAGGAGTGTATATCAATTGCCCACACATACTAATATACTAATATTACACACATACTAATATTACACATCACTAATAGGTTAATTTAATATAATTTTATAATATAATTTTATTGGTGAAATAGTGAAAAATTACTAAAGGCACACCGATATGAGTGATGTGTGCAATTAAACTGTGCAAGTGCGCCGCTCCCTTTTAAAAGTAAGAATGCTGTAAGAATGATTGATGAATGACAATATCGTTTAAAATATCTGCTAAAAAACTATTAAAAAACTATAAAAAAACGTAAACACATTTTATTCCTTTGCATTATTAAAGTTTTACTTTCTAAAAAATCATAAAATGTGTTTTTTGAAGAATTTTCGGAAAATCGCCAAAATATTAAAGTGACACAAATATTTTCAAATTACCTTGGGCAGAATTAGTTGGGCCTCCTTATTTGCTTGTTTTACTGGCAAGCAAACTGGGCAATCACTTCGATTACAATGTTTCCAATGATTGATAATTTGCCAAGATATGCTACAACGAGGCATCATACAAGATTTACCAGCTTCACAATTCGGCATGTGATTCAAAACATTTGTCATGGTTT